CTCAGCTACCGCGAGAATAGAAGCAGACTGCTCTATTCTGACGTTGGAACGCTCGCGATACTTCGACCAGAAAGGGGAAGTCAGGGGAAACCGAATCGAAATTTCCCTGGAGGAATCAACTGATAGCGCGCGACTCGAATCAAATTCGCCGGAGAGGGAGTTTTGTAGTCGCGCGGCAACGGCTTGTTTCTTCGCGATGGGAATTACCTTAATCTGGGAATTACAAAAGAGAAAACATACACACACACACACACACACACCACGCGCACACACTCTCTTAGGGCAAGCTTGCTGTATATAAACAGAGAGCCAACCCCACACTCACTAGTCCTGTTGATGTTGCCTCGTTGGATAATGTAATGTCTGCAAGGAAGCAACCGAGAGTAATATACTGTATTTTTTAAATACTGCTTTCATAAATTACGTGTAGGTAAGTTGTGTAGTATTTCACACGCCTTTGCAGCTGCAATAGTTCCTAGTTGGTAAACCATTAAAAAAATATGTTTTAAAAGACTTTAGAAATCTGTGAAGCCTGGTCAGACTCGGGCATCCCAAGAAGAAACTCTTTGCTTCTGTCCTCAATTTTACCTTAATGCTGTTAAAATTTAAACCAAAACCACTGTATGTTTATGTATGTTTGCATTTTTTTTTTATTTTTATAGACTGAAGACAGCATTTAATTTCCTTGTACCATGTGCAATGACAATAAAGCAAACTATAAACCTGGGGTGAAATCTACTTACTTCCCTACAAGTTCAGAAGTGTGCGCACCATTGTCAGGTCCGATTGTAGACCCTCTGTGCATGCGCAAAGCCACCTGCGCATACGCAGAGGGTCAAAAACAGGTTACTTCCTGGTTAAAACCAGGAAGTGACATCCGGGTGGGTGGGCGGAGCCTCATGCTGCCACCCCTACCGGTTTCCTGAACCACCCGCTGCTGCTGCTACCGGTTCGCCTGAACAAGAGCAAACCGGTAGCATTTCACCCCTGCTATAAACTATATAGTAGAGTGCCTCAGGCAACCTTGTTCCAATCCTGTTCAATTTAGGTCTCGAGATGAAGCAGAAGAGTTAAACCTCAGTACCAAATTTCTAGAGCAAGGTCTCGCTCCATTAGATAATTAGCAGTCTGGGATTATTTGGGGGTGTTTGCAGCCTGATCTAGAAATTCAGTTTCTAGATTCAGATAACATTCTGAACCTTTAATGAAATGGTTAAAGCATATATGGTGAATTAGTCCCTGAAATATCCAAGAGCTACAATAGCTATTTTGGGAGCAGCTATCTTATATTTTTGAAGCTTGTCAGGCTGTCCTTTTTTTTTTTTTTTTCTTTCGTGCTGTTTTTCAAACTCTACAAAATGATACAAAGCCAAGGGCCCCTTCTCAGGTTGGAGCTACTATATTTAAACTTACAAGACTTTTTGGCCTCTTTCACTAACTAGCACACTCACGGAAGACGAAAGAGAGGGGACAGAGTTGCTTTACCCTGTGTCTCTGTATTCAGAGGCTCTAGAACACAGATGTCAAACTCGATCACGGCAGCTTGATGTCATGTGACATATCGCAACGTTTTTTCCCTTTGCCGAGCAGGGTGAGCATAGCCTGCGCATGATGCATCTGGCCTGCAGGCCGCCAGTTTGGCACCCCTGTTCTAGAAAAATGTTAAATTAACACTTTGTTCTTCCTGTTCAAATGAAGGTGATGTACAAGAAGTCCATTGCATACAACAGTTTATTTAGTGGCCATTCAAAGTTACAATGGCACCTGAAAAAATTTTTCACACTTAACGACTTGCAGCATCCCCATGATCATGTGATCAAAATTCAGTCACTTAGCAACTGACTCATTTATGACAGTTTAGTGTCCCAGGGTCATGTGATCACCTTTTGTGACCTTCTGACAAGCAAAGTCAATGGAGAAGCCAGATTCACTTACCAACCGTGTTACTAACTTAACAACTGCAGTAGCAAGAAAGGTTGTAAAATGAAGCAAAACTCATTTAACAACTTAGCAACAGAAATTTTGGGCTCAATTGTGGCCATAAGTCAAGGACTACCTGTACTCAGGGTTACCTTTGTTACCTTTGTACAAAAAACCAGACAACTCCATTTGAACATTGGGTATTCCATGAACCCAAGGCTTTTTTCCAAATAGAAACTGTCTTGTATTCTTCAGTAGAAAATTTGTCATTTTTTTTTTTTTAAATTTGATTTATATGCCGCCCTTCTCCGGAGACTCAGGGTGGCTTACAATGCGTTAAGCAATAGCCTTCATCCTTTTGTATATTTTATACAAAGTCAGTTTATTGCCCCCACAATCTGGGTCCTTATTTCACCTACCTTAGAAAGGATGGAAGGCTGAGTCAACTTTGAGCCTTGGAGAGATTCGAACCAGCAGAAATTGCAGGCAGCTGTGTTAATAACAGGGTGCATTAAACCACTGTACTATCAAGGCTCCTGAATTTACTGAAAATGAATGTACTAAAATGAATTTAGTACATTCATAAATTAATAAATATAATTCTGTTTAGAAACTGTTTGGCCAACTTTGAATCTAAATTTGTGATTAAATTTAAGCAATTCTTAAAGGAAGTACCGTTTTTGATATACAGATTTTTCCACTGTATTGCTGCTGAACAGTTTCCTTCCAATTAAGCCAGCTACTTTCCTTTAAGTCCAGCCATTTGATGAGGACCCAGATTGTCAGGGACAATATACTGACTCTATAAACCACTTAGAGAGGGCTGTAAAGCACTGTGAACCGGTATATAAGTCTAAGTGTTATTGCTATTGCTACTTGCTGAAGTGGAAATAAAATATCAGAGAGAGATACTTTATTTTGTTAAAATTTTTATAGCTCCCTCTGGTGGCGTGAATTGTAAGATATAAATATTTCTGGCCATTGTGTTTTATACTGGTAGTCTTCAATTTACAAACATTCATTCAAAATTAAGATGATGCTGGAAAAAAGTGAGTTATGACTGGTCCACAAATTAGAACCATTACAGTACCCCCACAGTCATGTGATCAAAATTAGTGTGCTTTATTGCCACCCATACTTAAAACCACATGGAATCTCCAGCTCCCTTTACTCATTTATCTCCACTTTTGGCTATCCTACATAGAGGGATTGAAATAGAGGTTTGGGACCCTCGGCAATCTCAGCCAGTACTACTGCCCCCAGATCTATATTTCAGCACCAGCACTGCTGCTGCCACTGAGAAATGCCCCCTCAAACCCCACATCATAGTCAAGCACCACAGCACAAAGCCCCAGTTAACCTTTCTTCTCTGTGCTCCATAGACCTTGCTATACCCAGCTGACTTTCAGCATCTTCCTCTCACTGAAAGGCAGTGCTAACCGTGCCAGGCCTTCTTCCCAAGGCCACTAGCATCATTCTTCAAATCGCCCATGCCATTCTCCAAATAGTGCAATGCCATTCTTGCAATGCTTCGTAAAGCCTTTGGAAAACTGCTGAGATCTTCCAAAATCTTGCAGGAAACAGGGTGCCTGCCTTTTTCCAAAGAGTGTGCCGGTTCTCACTAGACCTGGAGAAGATGGCCTCCCATGGCCAGCAACTGCCTCACAAAGACCCAGGGAAAGCAAGCTTCGTCAGCAGTGGAAGGAAGCAGATGGCAGAGATCAGCTGGGAATGTGGGATAGTGAGAGTAGATGGGTTGGGTCACATTTTTTAGCCAAAGCTTTGCACTGTGCTCTTGGCACTTCCCAGAACACGGAGGCTTTGTGCCATATTTGTTATTTCCTGGGTGTGGCAGCTTTGTGCTACTCTTTTTGTCCTTTCTGAAGACACAGCAGATTTATGCTGCATGGCTGGGCTGTGGTTCAGGGGTTTCTTACCGTGTCAGAGCTGTAAATAGTGCATCAGAATGCCCTTGAGTCCTAGCATATTCTTTCCTGACCACCTTGTGGTCACATCCACACAAGCATGCGTCCTACACTATCTTTTCCTGGCCTCCCTGAGTTTGTGTTGTACTGCAGCAAACCCCCCCCACCTCCAACTAGTGCATTGCCTGTTTGCAGCCTCCCCACCTCCCACAGCCCCCCCCCCCCCACTCCTTACCTGGGATTCCTTCAGTTCCTGCTTAACAACTCATGCTGGAGTTATGATGACAAAAGGGAGTGCTAGGATTGCAGTTGCTAAGAGACATTGTCAAACGATGTGTTTTATGTCCACCTCCCTTAGCAATGGGAATTCCAGTCCAGTTGTGGTTATAAGTCAAAGAGTACCTATGTTAGGTCTTTCTATTGTTGTGTTTGCATAGCACACCCTACCTTGACACATTGTACAGGGTTTTTGTTCCAATGTTAAACACTCTCACGTTAGATCTTTTTGCTAAATGCTACAAAGCTTGTTATAGATCACAGAATTTGCATAAATGGGGACCAAAATGGCAGCTATTTCTAGTTTGAATGGCACAGTGATTACATTCATATACCATGCATACTCATGATTAATATTGTTTCACTGACTCCAATTTTCTCAGATGGCATAGATCAGGGGTCCCCAACCCCTGTGCCATGGCCCACTACTAGGACGTGAGCTGTACAGAACAGGGCCGCAGAAGCAGCAGGCAAGTGCACACGTGCATGCATCCCCACTTGCGTGATCAGTGGGTGAGCACATGTGCACTCCATTTGTGCAAGCGGCAGGGGCATTTGCCCATCAATTACATAAATGGAGCTGTGTGCACTTGTCGGCCACTCAGGTGGAACCATCCCCCCCTCTCTCTCTCACACACACACACACACACACATACACGCCAGTCCGCAAAGCTGGAAAGGTTGGGAAACTCATATACACCAAATCATTAAATAACAAGCCATACTTAAAGGGCACCTTAGGTCAAAATCCTGGATTGTTTGTGCTTTGGTGTGTCAAGCAGATAGCAATAGGATCTTTGTTAGTGAATTCAGCTAAATTATTTCATTATTTTGTATTAGAAGGAAAATCAAATAAATAATGACAGAAATGCTGAAGAGTTTTGCTTTTTAACTACTGTCCAACAGCTTTTGGTCCATTTATTTGATAAGGCATTAGCAAGATACAGTTATAAAGGAATTAAATTGAATTTGTGTAAGATAGATGTGAACATACAACAAAAGAATAAATAAAAGGTGCATTTTTAAAGTCTTGCATCCATAAACACACAATATCTCATAACTGAACCCTGTTCCCATGGAATACTACTGAATGCAGTGTAGATTTCTGCAAATTCAAGGGTCTGTATTAGAGTAATTCCTTGTTGTCAGATCAAGTCAGTTAAGGTACAAAAGAATATTCTGACTCAGTTAAAAACTTTGCCAGAGGCTGTAAAGAAGCCAGAACATCAGTTGCAGATGCAGCACAATGATTATCAGATTATTCACTTCTAGATTAAAAATGGTGAACATATATTTATATTATTTATTATTTATTAACCAACTTTTGCAGAATGTCTGAGTTGCAAAATCTAAGAGAAAGGAATATAAAGACCATATTTGATAAATCAGTATAGAGTATGATTCTGATGTTTAAAAAGCTAGCCTAGTTCATCTGGAATAAATGCAATGACCAGCATGTTTTATGGCTCTTTGTGTGCTTGAGCCCATTCATACTGTCTTTATTCCAAAATTAGTTCCACTAAGTTCTATGACCAAGAAATTATGTGTAGGTTCAAACTAGGTTTCTACATAGATCTTTTTTTTTTCTTGACAAAAATTGCTTTCTAGAGAAATATATCCAAAATTTCAGATTTAGGTAACTTGAAAGTTCTTTTATAGGGTTGTTTAGTTGGATTGTTTTAATGATGAGGGATTACTACCTAATCATGTCATTGTTGAAATACCATAGCTATATATGGTAAAAATATGAAGAAATAGGCATGTACTACTGCATGTTCCTCCATATCCAAGTGGTGCTTCAGATTTCAATATTATGAAATAACATGTTCCCATGAGATAAAATAGATATTTGACCCTAACCCTTAAATTATTTTCATTGTGTTAGGATTTTAAAAAGTAACTAAAGCATGATTCTCCAAGGACAAGGTCCCAGTTGTTCCTACTGCATATTTTTCTTGTATTGTCATCTTCTGGAGAGCAACCTAAATAGAATTGCCAGGATTTATGCATTCCTTTCTTACTATGATATGTTAATGTGCTAAATCTGGAAATGAAGCTTCCAAAGCAATAAAAAAAATATCACCAGGGAAAGGTCTTTGTCATTTAGCCTTTGGAATTTAGTAATTTAGTAATGTAGATTACTCAATGTGATGTCACAATTCGTCTTGTAAGCTACATAGACAATTGAAGAAACAGTGTAAGACATGGGAGCCACTGACTATAGGCAATGGAAATAAAATGCACAAAATAAGTACATCCAATTTTCAACAAGTGACATTATGCAGATATCCTCTTAGACATCGTTGTTTTATAAATAATAAATAATAAAATGCCCTAATTGCTCATTACTACTGAATTCGAAAGAAAGGCTGTGATACTTTCACTGTGGTTTGGTTTTGAAGGTGTTATCTTTATAACCTTTGTTCCAATCCTTTGGTTTCTTCTGCATTTTTGGCTTCCCGTGATCAGGGCGCAGTCTCCAACTCCTCACTTCCCGGGGCTTAGCTTCTTCAATAGCCTCAGGTTCATGATGCACAGTTTGCAGTTTCTCAAGGAGCCAGTTTTGCCGGTCTGCTGAATGTAGGTGTTCCCCCAAATCATGCATAATCTGGACTTCACTTACAGACCTCTTCCTGTAATGAAGAAAGAGGAGAAAAGACAATAACCTCTTGGAATAGCAAAGAGACTAGACCTTTAGTTCTGCACAGTTGCAATCATTGGTGGGATTCAGCTGGTTCTCTCCGGATTGCGCAAACCGGTAGCGGTGACTGCGGGAGGCTCCGCCCACCTGCCCGAACATAATGTGCAACTACTGCGCATGCGCAAAAGGCTGTGTGCATGCGCAATGGTGGGACATGCACTCACATTTGCGAACCAGTAGGGAAGGTAAGTGAATCCCACCTCTGGTTACAATAATTGTGACTCTGGGTAAAGTGGGAGGGAGAGGTTATTCAGAAAATTGATAGGTTTGCTGGCAGAGATGTTCTATTCAGATCTTAACAGAATGGAAAAGATTTCTGAGAAAATCACTTCAAAAATGGCAATTCTGCAAGCAGCATACTTAAAATACTAATTGCCAGGGAGAAATAATGGAAGACAGACATTTCATTTCTACATGCACTTTCAAAGTGTATCCAATGGGTCACTGGGATTCTGTATGTGATTTATTTATAATATTTATATAATTTCCCATTTAACACTTTGACCACTGAAAAAGCAACGCAGAAACAACAGCAAATAAAAAGAACAATATGTTTTCATGCACAAGTGGAGTACCCATAGATGCTTTGACATGAACATAAGTTTAATGAGTAGTTTGAAGTGTCTTATGGAATATATCGAGAGAGTCCATGGTACTTGTAAAGCAACAGTGAAATCCAAATTTTTTTACTACCGGTTCTGTGGGCATGGCTTGGTGGGTGTGGCAGGGGAAGGATACTGCAAAATCTCCATTCCCACCCCACTCCAGGGGAAGGATACTGCAAAATCGCCATTCCCTCCCCATTCCCGGAGGAAGGATATTGCAAAATCTCCATTCCCACCCCATTCTGGGGCCAGCCAGAGATGGTATTTGCCGGTTCTCTGAACTGCTCAAAATTTCTGCTATCAGTTCTTCAGAACCTGTCACAACCTGCTGGATTTCACCCCTGCTCTAAAGAAACCTATTTAAGAGCTTGGCAGTTCTGATGGAGATAGTGCTCTGCTCACCCTACCCTTCCACCTTGTCATAAGAAAGGCATATTAGCAAAGACACTGGGTGTTAGGACTGGCCAAGCAGATTTGATTCTAGCAACACAGTGTCCAATACTACACCTTAAAAGGCTTGAAAGGTGAAAAATAGCACTAGCTAAACTATTTACTGCAACTAAACACCAGAGATTAAACTTTCCTTTTGTTGCTTTTCGACACTTGTCAATCTCCCAGGAAAGGTATAGCTTAGTTATTATACTTACATCACAGCTTTTCCATCAGAATTTATGAAGAAACAGATGGCATATAAAATGAATGCAGATTTAGTAATATCCCTGATTGAAGTCATATTAACTGAAAGAAAAGTCAAAATACATTTCCATAGATAAAATTATTCCGAATCGTGTGATCAAAATAATCATAGAAATGATGGGAAAAGTATTTATAAAAGGAAATTGTGTTTCTTCATGTAATATGAAGAGAGGAGAGAATTGGGGGTTAAATTAATCACAACTATTTGTCTAATGCTGAACTAGAATAGGCCTTGGCTTGCTCAGCCAGACAAATACAGACATATTTAAGCAATAGCAAATGTCAATTCAAACAATTTTTCACTTGGGTCATGGGACTTTCTCTCCCTCAAATCCCTCTTATGTATATCCCAGGTTGCTCTACATTGGTGCAGATCTGCATCATACATACAAAAGAGAACTCATTCTGCATCTATTCATTAATTAAGAGATGACTAATCCACTAATTCTGATGAAATTATTTATGTAGTGGAGGTCACATTGGCAGAATGCTTTTAATAAACCCTACTCTGCTGCATCAAACCATAAATATATCTTACCTCCTATTCTCAAGAGTCATCCAGTTGTTCTCAGGAAACATACAAAGTGTGGAATTAATAAGGCTGCCCATTATTTATTTGCTATGCCTTTATGTTGTTTTCATGGATAATTATTTCAGTCTTATTGAAAATTTGCAGATACCACCACATTGTGTTCTATTGAATTTCTTACATAAGTTATGCATTGATTGAAGAACAATGTTTTGGGGCAAAATCTTTTTATAAATAGAGATTATCTTGGTTTTGGGGAAATTAGTATTCATAGACCCAAAGTGAATCTCTTGATTACATGACTTAAATGGATCATGTGGTTTTAAAACGTGGTGATGCAGTCAGTATGGTTGCTTTAACAGCCGTGTTAATTCATCTCATGTTAACTGGGCAGAACTGATTATCTGCCTTTTGATATGCATCCAGGTAGATATTAAGAGTAAGACTTAAGAGATGGCTTTGAGATGTTTTAATCCAATATGGATGAAAGTGGGAATGGGGGAAAACATCCAGAACAGGATATTCAAAATCATATGCTGTATATTGCATGCATGTTCTTCGATACATATAAATTTTTCTCATCTAATACTTAGACCTGTTAATTTTAATCCTAAAAATTAACTCGATCCAATGAATGAAAAATTTGATAGATTTAATCTCTTATCTGTGAAGTAAATTAAAGTCAAAACTAAACTCACAGGCATAAAAGAACAGTAACTTGTTACTGAGGTAATTGATTTCAAATGAAAAAATTAGGCATTCACTTAACTATTTAATGGCTATTGGCAGTAGAAGGGCAGGTAGGTACTTAGACCTGTTAATTTTAATCCTAAAAATTAACTCGATCCAATGAATGAAAAATTTGATAGATTTAATCTCTTATCTGTGAATGAAATTAAAGTCTAAACTCACAGGCATAAAAGAACAGTAACTTGTTACTGAGGTAATTAATTTCAAATGAAAAAATTAGGCATTCACTTAACTATTTAATGGCTATTGGCGGTAGAAGGGCATAAATCAGGTAGGATGATCAGATTTGGCCCATGGGGTGTAACTTGCCTGTCCTGGATAAATGTTGTCATTGAACCAATGACTGGGAATCATTAATTTGACTGGAGCAGTCAAACCAATTTTGACCCTAACATAAACCTCCCATCATTTAGAAATTCATTGTGCTATAAATGATACTGCAACACCTTTTTTTCCCTTTCATAATCTTCTTATTTTAGCTTAGGAGGCATTTCGTTTTATTTTTTTTTCCTCCGGAAAATGTGTAGGCATCAAAAATCTGTTCTTGAAAGCATTTATACCATCCTAAACCTATTATTATCACTGGAAATTTTATTGACGAAGCCATTTGAGTTTCTCAGGGTAGAACAGAAAAGCTGATAAGGATTCAAGAAGTAAAACGTAACTTAAACTTAATGCTGAATCCAGTTATAAATTCCAGTGGTAATTTTGATTGCCGGTGAGATGTATAGCCTCAGTTAAAGTTTTTATGAAGGGCCTATAACAATGCTTAATAAAATATTAAGTGATTTACAATTTCGGTATATACATTATTTTTACTACAACCTAAGCATAAATATAATTCGGATATTTCATATTCCTATCTATATTTCTTTTATGCAATTTTATACACATATATGAAAATTAACTTTCAAAATAAAATATAGAGCATTCTTACCAGGTAGCTTTTTAAGTTGGTTCTTCCTTTAGATAAATCTCAGCAAGCAGAAGTTGATTTGAAGACTGCTTAATTGGTCTAGAAGACTCCTTAAATGCAACTTTAAATAGAACTTCTCAGTAGCTAAGGAGCCCTTTTATTGTCTCCTTTTGTTGATGTCACTTTCGAACACACCCCTGACCTTGATGTACCACCCATCATGTGCTTTTGTTAATGGGGCATTGAAAGAACAGAGAAGAAAGGTTTAGGGCAAAATACAGTAACCTGGGAAACTTCACAAGAGTTTGACTTTTAGAGAATCTGAGTTTGAGGTTGGAAAAAAATGCATATAAAGAAATTATGTCAATTAAGCAGTGATGATCAGCTTTAAATGTTAATGAATCCAGGGATGACTAAAAGCCAACCTTTGTGTGTGGGTATCAATGATCAAGAACATGAATGGCCTGCTGCAGGAATCTTTATTCAGTGTCATTAAATTTAGTCTATTCAAATTGGAAAAATTAACATTGCCCTGGAATCAGAGATAAACCTTGAAGTCTTGTAAATCTAGCTCATTAATCACAATGGGGCATCACTTTTAAGTACAAACATGGATATTGCTATGACCGAAGACATCAAACCTCAGTTTCTGTATCAAAGAAATAAATTATTAATAGATATATATACTTTCTCTCAGACATATATATATACCCAGATGGAACTGTTTAAGATAGTAATTTCATTTCCAAACAAATGTTCTACATAAGGATATGTGGGATTTTAACTGAATTTTTCCTTGGAGCAGATAGAATGTTTAAAACATTAAAAAGTACTTGCCATTTTAATTTTAATAAAGATTGTAGAGACTTTTAAAATGCATTCCTCAAAGGCTAACTGCTGAGCCCTCCCTCACAAATAAAAATAAAAATAAAATAGGTTTGTGCTTGTTTGTTTTCTCCTGCAACAGGTGGCTTGATTTACTTATTTGAGTCAGTGTCTCAATTCTGCAAGCAAATTCTTATGTTCAAAAGCTTTATTTGTCCAGTCAGACTCCTGCAAGTTTTAGATGGCAAGATTATTGTAGAGCTATACATACTGCTTCGTGAAAAAAAATAAGATTTTTGGAACATTTTGCTCATATGATGCTGTATCATTTGCTTACAAATTAGTGAATGCAGCAGGACAAGACTATTACCCACGATTTATTTGTAAGATTCACCGGATAAATAAAGAAGATGTAGGCTTTAAACAAGTAACAGTTTATCTGTGAATGGTGCTAATAATTGCCCTATTATGCTAGAGGGAATATAAAAGACAATGTTTTCTTTTCATTCAACAGAAAAGCTTTTTCAAATTTTGCCCTTATTTTATAGAATGTAAGTCACATATCGGTTACATTAATATTAAAGATAGAAAGGCAGATAGATGAACAGAATGTTCACTTTATTCAGAAGCAACAACCATTTCTTGCATTTCTGTATGAATGAGATGAGAGCCACACATTTATTTATATCCCACCTTTATTATTTTTACAAATAACTCAAGTTGGTGAAGATATCCAACATACCTTCCATTTTCCCCATAACAACAACCCAGTGAGGTGAGGTGAGCTGAGAGGACTGGTTCAAGCTCACTCAGCTGCAGGGGTGAAATCCAGCAGGTTCTGGAGAACCGGTAGCGGAAATTTTCAGTAGTTCGGAGAACTGGCAAATACCACCTCTGGCTGGCCCCAGAGTGGGGTGGGAATGGAGATTTTGCAATATCCTTCCCCCAGGAGTGGGGTGGGAATGGAGATTTTGCAGTATCCTTCCCCTGCCATGCCCACCAAGCCACGCCCACAGAACCGGTAGTTAAAAAAACTTGGATTTCACCACTGCTCAGCTGGCTTTCATGAGTAATGCAGGATTAGAACTCATGGCTTTTGGTTTCTAGCCTGGTGCCTTAACCACTAAACCAAACTCTCTCTCAACAATTATTCCTAACCCCAACATCATGCGCACCCACATGCTCCCATCTACGATAGCTATGTGTTTATTTCAAGCACTTGCAGTAAGGAAGACTTGTATATTTTATTCAATATACAAAAAGAGTCTCCATCATTCAGAACCTCCTGCAGCTGCAGATTATGTTGATGCTGCAGGCCAACATTTCCTCCTTGCAGATACCCACAATGAACTCACATCTGTTAGACAGAGTAGCATCCTTGGCAATGCAGCCTCCAGACATTCCCTTTTACCCATTTATTCAGAGTGAATGTTTTATTTCCTAAAAGGACTCTTGTTTGAGAAAACATTTTAGGCCTAAATGCAGTCTCTTCCATTGGAGCAAAAACATATGTTTAGTAGATAAGAAAGATTGGGGGGAGGGGGGGAACCATGGACAATATATGATTAGAAAAGGTTTGTATTGAATGTGACAATCATTAATTAACTGCTTCCTGATCAGGAGACCTCCAGCATCATTAGCTCTTGTCTTAAATTTCAGTGAGTGTCCAGAAAAATCACTTTGGTATTAAAAACAGCTGATAATGCAATAGTATATCTTATCACTGCATCTCTTTGAGCCCGCTGTTTGTTTATCTGTAATCTACAATAATATGTGAAAATGTACAATGTACATTTGTACAACAGATGTAATGATGACATTGGCTTGATTCTTGAATGTATCAGCTCCGGGTATCAGGGATTTGTAAAAAGTAGTGATAAGTCAGGAAGATGCTGGCTATCCACTAGAGGAGAAAGAGCTGACAAGACTTTTTCCACTGAAGAGATGAGCATCCTTGACTAACCTTCACACATGCAGCAGAGCAAAGCATGACAAAATGTTGCTGCCATTGCACTGTAAGAAAGATGCACAGCTATTCAATACCAAGTGAGAGAAGAAAGAACCAATCGTGCTGATATAGATTGTCTTCCTACTGTATCAAATACAGCTAGCTGTGCAATCTTTTTTTTTTCAGTTTTCCAAAAGCTTTGTTTATTAATTTGGGACACTTAGAAAATGATGATGCCTTTCAAAGACAAATCATGGCTTCCTAAGTATTGATGAATGGCGAGTCCCTTCATCACTCACCACAAGCATTATAGCGGGGTATGATGGTAATTCATCAATAAAGGTAGTTCTCATTTAGCAACTGCAATTTGTTTCTGAGAAATGGTGGGTTAGAAACATGGTCGCCAAGTGAACCACATGACAAAGGAAGAATGAGAGATCCTGCAAAGTTTGCTGGTTGCTCTTGTCTCACTTAAAAAACAACAACAAACATTATTGTGCAGCAAAGCTAACATTACCCTCACTTTGGCACACATTGTTTTCAGGCTCAGAAATTTATGGCATGCATTGACCAGAAAATGATTTTTAATTACTGTTTACTACTGTTTATTACTACTGTTGAATTTGCAAATGACCATTATCCAAGGGAGTTGCTAACAAAAATGACCAATCTCTCCAAAGTCAGAAAGTCTCATCGCTTTTCCTGACTTATAATAGGATTATGAACACTTTCATTTGTTCATAGATATCCTATAATAATGATGGCTAACTTTTTTGCCATCGCCTGCCAGGAGTGGGGGGGGAGGTGGGGTCGCACGCATGCATGCCCACACCCTTAATTCTATGCGCCCCGTGCATGCACATGTGACCCCCCCACTCCTCCCCACTCCTGGCACACAGTGGGCCCAGTAGGCCAATTTTTCACTCTCCCCAGGCTCCAGAGCCTTTCTAGGAGTTTGGGGGTGGGGCGAAAACAGCCTCCCCCCCAAGGCCCTCCAAAGGCAGGAAATGGCCTGTTTCCCTACTTCCAGTAGGCCCAGAAGGCCTGAAAATCAGCTGGCTGGTGCGCAAATGCATGCCAGAGCTGAGCTCACGTGCCCATAGATATGGCTACGTGTGCCATCTGTGGCACATGTGCTGTAGGTTCACCATCACGGTCCTATAAGCTCTACATTAGTAGTGTGATTACTGCTCATGGACCAGCTCTTTTGCTTTCTTCAAAGGCTTAAGTATATTTACTAATATACTTAGTAGATTCACCACTATACTGAAAATAGCAACTAGTAAATGGTGACACAGTGGATGGTTGTAGTGAGACAATAATGCTAAAAGTGTCTAAGGAATGTTTCTCTCCTGACACAATGAAATCTGAAGAGAGACAGTAAACCTTTAGATCTTCATTTGATTGACAAGATTTGTGGTTTCTTAAATACCATAGCAGCATGCCTAGTCAATGGCATAATCATCATGATGCAGCCTCAGGTGTCTTTTGCACTACGCTAGCAGCTAAAAGAAGCCTCTTGATGAAGGATAAACACTGCACAAGTACCTTTGTACTAAAAGACTCCTAATAAGCATCTCAGTAAGTACCACAGTTAGACAATTCAAGTGTTCACTAAAGATGACTATACTTTTAAACTCTTAAAATAAGACGTGTGTTAAGAGTGCTCCCAAACATCAGCATAATGTTTGTGCACTAAACAAGGAAGAAGGCTAACTGAACAAATACTTTCTAAAGAAACATTCTATTGTTTCCTCTTTCAATTATTCTACCAAAATTAGGCCAGCCATTTCCTGAAGGATCTTTCCCCAGTAAAAGAAACCTCTGTTATTCTGTTTCACTCTTAGATTATTTTAGAGCTTCTTTCAATGGAGTTATTGGTTTTGCTTTTTCACCATGATAGTTGTTAGTATTGTTATATTTTTGTTAGTTGTTAATCTCCCATCTCTGTGGCCATTTTTGCTTGCTGACCTGAAGAAATCTAGTGAGAGGCGTCCATTTAGCATATAATGAACATATGGAAAACAAGGGAACCTCACATTGCTGAAAACTTAATTGTAGTATGAAAGCAAGACTTCTTGCATACACCTTACCCCAAATTCTTAGACATCCTAAAAGTGCAATGATCTTTCACCCTTATCCTTCAAAATTATTCCAGAATGTATTTCATCAAAAAAGAATCAGTGACAATTTCAGTTCCCTACAAGTGGAGAATAAGATCAAAATATAAATTAATGTCTCAGCACAAATGTGACAGAATATAGTTTCCTATCCATGGTCTCTGTAACTTCAGCCCATCTCCCAGATGGCAATTACTCAGGTGTATATCTCGAACAT